TTCTAGGCTCTTTCAGGGTTAAGAGAATGAGCCCCATCATTGTTACTGGTATTTGGCATATTGGGTACGCCACGGGGAGTTTGCCAAACTCTGCCATATGGGCAGGTTACATTCAGTAGCCTGCCAGCTTGTCCAAAGCAAGAATGAGATAATACAATGTCGCTTCCAGGAGCTGGGTTTTATAGTCTCTGAGTCTTGGCTGTTGATGGGATTACACGGTGCCAGGGGGCCAGTTGGTGGGTGTAATCCCTGCCTACTGGAATATGGAGGATCTGGGTGGAGGATGCTCAGCCCCGATCCAAGCAGGCTTGGACATCTCAGCCTCGGGACCCGCATGCCTTTGTTCCTCTGCTGGTACCTTCATGCGTGTGGAGAGTGGTCTCAGTATGGTGGTGACTGGTTCTGAGGTCTTTGGCTGCTGGAGCCCTGGTTGGGGCAGGGAGGGAAACTCAACCCGCTCCCCTCCAAGGGGCCCCGGCGAGGACAGCCAGGCACGGGGGCAGGAGACTCTGTGCTGCTCTCTTCCGGGAGCTGGATTTTATAGTCTCTGGGTCTTGGCCATTGATGGGATTACATGGCGCCAGGGGGCCAGTTGGTGGGTGTGACCCCTGCCTACTGGAATATGGAGGATCTGGGTGGAGGATGTTATATAAAATTCTTAAACCACACTCAATGATCAGAAATTATAACTATACAACTTACTAATAAATGTTTCAGAATTAGAGGCATTCTGTTGCAGGCAGATGCAAGGTCAAATGACAGGATAATACTGTTTTTAAAATGTTAAAGCCCAAGAAATGGTAAGAGAAGTGTAACTTCTATGATCCCACATATATTAGCTGTACCACTTACTGACCAATTTATTGCTGTAATAAATGTACTAAATTTCCATGAATTTCTTGTTGAACAGTCATGATATTTATATTTAAAAATATGTGGCTTTTTTTGACTGTCAAAAAAGCTGATTTTTAACTGGAGGTTCATGGCATTATAGAAACAAAGAGTATAAAGATATCCCTTTCTGAGTCAAAATTATAGGCAGGAGCCAAATCACAGAGATATCAGTGAGTCTTGTCTCAGATTTGAGCATCTTTTATGTTATTCAATGCCACTGTTATTCAATTTTGGACTCTCCAAAATTCCTTGTAGTGAATTAATAATTTTGTAATTCTTTAACTTTTATTTGGCAATCAAATAATTAGGATTAATACATCTTTACAAATGTAAAAGAACATCTTTCTCCCTTCCCCTTCAGAACGAGCTACTAAAGAAATCACTCAAGATGTAATTCCTTCAATGCTGGGATTTGCGGTATACAAATATATTTGAACTTTGGAGGCACTGTTTCTATTTACAGTATTAGTACTATCATCTACAGTGACTTTCAAAGAACTGGAGAGTCTCATATCTTTTTGTCCTTGAATGACGGATATGACCAAAGTTTTAGTAGAGTAATCATGTATCAATTAATTAGTGCTATTAAATCCCTCACAAATGTATGATTAAACAACTTCAATTAATTTTTTCCTTATTCTGGAGTTAGATGAGAAATTTCACATCTTGTTTACCTCTCCTTCCTGAGAATGAACTTTACTAGAGCACCAGCTAGGGTGGGAAGCAGATGGTTTCTCACAATGGTTTGTTAAATTAGTACTATATATTGTTTGCAGTAACTACAACTTCTTCTAGTCTCATTTATTCCATTCTAGACTGTTTTATTTATTCAGTGACCCTAAGGCAAATCCTAGAGGGCAGGGAAAAAAAACACCTAAAAAGTCAATTCATTCTAAAACTTACAAAAATGTCATAGTCCACCAAGTGTCCACCAAGTCAAAGTGAGCGAAATGTACTTTATTTTTGACTGGAAGAATTGCAAAATATGTTTCCCTATTATTAAAAATTCATGGCAATATTCCTCTAAAATGACACAATATTGTGGAATATTGTTTATTAAAAATAAATACCAATACAAATATTTCTTTCCCCAAAAGCATCCAGCTGTGTACACAGGAAAATAATATGAAAACTAAATTAGACTTGAGCTTTAGTCTAGAAAGTACTCTTGGTTTAATATATATATATATATATTTTTTTTTTTAACACACAACCTGCTCAACTGTGTTTAGTGGCTTAGTGTTCTGCTTGATTAATTCCTGACAGGTTTGGCAGATACTTTGAAGAAGGCATGTTCTTGAATAAGATTCGTAGAGAACACAATAATGTAATACAAACTATAAGATCGCAAAATAGATTGTAATTTAAAGATATTTTATTATAACATACGATTATTATACACTTAATCACTTAATCACTTAACTTCCCGTTAGTCGTCGATTTGCTCGAGCGGGCGCCAGTAACGTCTCCATTTGTCCCTGTCGCGTGCTAGTGTAGCCCAATGGCATCTCTTCGCTCCGGGAACATGGAGGGCCTCAAACCGATCGTTCATGATCTTGACAAAGAAGTCTGACCATCTGGTAGGTGGGCGGCCACGCGGTCTCTTGACATCCCATGGAATCCAATCAGTAACAGCTCTAGTCCAACGGTCGTCTTTAAATCTCATTACGTGACCAGCCCATCTGATTTTCGACACCTTGGCAAATGAGACAGCGTCCCTGATCCTTGATTGTCGACGGATGTCAGAACTCCGGATTCGTTCTCTCATTTGAGTGAAACGTGATATTCCAAGCATAGCTCTTTCTATTCTTCTTTGGGAGACCTGAATGGCGTTCTCATCTTGTTTGCGTAGGGCCCAGGTCTCTGAGGCATATGTTAATGCAGGAAGAACAGTGGAATCAAAGAGATGTGCCCGGAGCCGGAGGTTCTTCGTCCTCTTAGCTATTTCTTCCACGTTCTTGAAGGCGTTCCAAGCCGCTCTCTTCCTCCTGCGCAGCTCTGGTGCCAGGTCATTTGTCATGTTGACCTCTCGACCTAGGTACACATAGCTGTTGCATTCGGAGATGGTCGTTCCATTGAGAGCGAATGGGGCGTCAGGAACAAGGCTGTTTCTCATAAACATTGTCTTCGTAAGATTCAGCTGTAGTCCACACTCACGGTCAAAGTCGGCCAGCATTTGTGCCGCTTGGCTGATGTTTGGTGTTATTAAAACAATGACATCAGCAAAGCGGAGGTGGTGTAGTTGCCGACCATCTATCTTCACTCCCATTCCTTCCCATTCCAGTCGTCGCATGATGTTCTCGAGGGTGGCACTGAAGAGTTTTGGTGAAATGGTATCACCCTGCCGCACCCCTCTCTTGACATCAACGATCACTTCTTTGTAGAATGGTGAGATCCTGGTAGTGAATCCGCAATACAGCTCACGGAGGATCCTGATGTATTGGGTTTGAATGCCCTGATTGGCTAGGGCTTCAATGACCGCTTCCGTCTCAACAGAATCAAAGACCTTCTTTAAATCAATGAACCGTTAAGCAGAGCGGCATGTTGAACTCCCGAGAAACCTCAATGAGCTTGGTTATCGTGTGGATATGGTCGATGGTGCTGAATCCTTTGCGGAGCCCTGCTTGCTCACATGGTTGTCCTTCATCTAGTGTTCTGCCAATCCTATTCAGGATGACTCGAGTGAACAACTTGTAGATGACAGACAATAGGCAGATCAGGCGATAGTTGCCAATGTCATGGATGTCTCCCTTCTTGAACAGTAGTACGGTCCTGCTGGTTTTCCATTGAGATGGAACCTTGCATTCAGACAGGTAGCGAGTGAAGAGCCGAGCCAGTGTATTGATGAGTACTGACGGCAGGTTCTTCAGGTGTTCAGGTCTGACCTTGTCTGGGCCGGGTGCTGTTTGCTTCTTTACTGACGAAATGGCGTGTCGGATTTCGGAAGGGAGAACGTTGGGAACGACATACCCATCCTGTGGAATTTGGTATGTCGGCAAGTGGACATGGCTATCGAAGAGATTTGAGTAGAAGTCATGGATAATCTTCTCCATTGCCGTTCTGGAGGATGTGATGGATCCATCAGGACGTCGGAGGGCAGTCATCTTGGTCTTATAGTTGGCGAAGGACAGGCGGGCGTTACGAATACTTTTCCCGGCTTCTGCCGCATCTACCAGTACTTCTGCTCTTCTCTCTTTGAGGTCTTCCTTGATCGCATCTCTGCACTGCTTTGCGAGCTCGGACGTTAGCTTGCGGTTGCCTGAGGCATGCGCCAAACCACGCTGGCGAATTAGCTCAAGAGTTTTCGAAGATAGGCGACTTTTTGTGGCTATCTCTCTCTTGGCGTTCCTCGCACATTCATGGAGGTGCTGAACCACCATGGACACTACTTCCACTACCCAGCCGTCGCCACACTCCAGGACGCTTTCCGGACCCGCGCGGCCGCTCCGGCCGAGACCCACGCACAACTGAAGACCCACAGAACAAGGTAAGCGGAACTCTCTGAGACCTTGGACTCCAGGCTCGCCGGACCCAGGGACAGAGCTTCTCTGCTTGCTCCCACCACCACAGGTGACAAAGGGATTCTAATCAGGAGCCCCACCCTACCCTGCCCTGTCTGCTTCCATCAACCACCCAGGGATCGAATTGTGCACAGGAGACCCACCCTACCCAGATAAATACCCCACTGGCAGACTTCCACTCTCGACACTACTTCCACTACCCAGCCGTCGCCACACTCCAGGACGCTTTCCACTTGCGGCCGCGCGACACATCATAAGACACTAAATACCTGTCTTCTGGAATTGTCGTACCATATTTGATAGGGTTCAAATATGGTAACACCTACAAGGGGGATTAGAGGTCACCCCAAAAGCCTCTATACCTCTCGGAAAGACTGGCAAGCTACCGAGAGTATTCCGCCCGCACGGAAGAGCCTGGCAAGCTATCCGCTGTGTATTCGATATGCCAAAACCAGTAACTACAACTGGTCTCATTCACCTGACCCTGAAGGCTTCACCGACATGGCAGCACTGAGAAGGATGAGAAAGGAGAGGCCGACAAAATCTCAAGGCCGACCTAGGCTGCCACAACGAAGGAAGACAAAAATGATCGTCTGTACTTTCAATGCACGTACGCTAGCATCAGATGCATCCATCGAGGACCTGATGGTACAAGCGCGAATGATCAAGTACGACATCATTGGTCTGACCGAGACAAGAAGGCACGAATCTCACCATGCCGTTTTCGACACTGGAGAAGAATTGTTCCTCGGAACATGCGATAAAAGAGGTGTTGGAGGCGTTGGTGTCCTTGTCAACACAAACTTGGCCAAGAGCATTGATTCATTCGAATGCCTAACAACCGGAATCGGACGTTTACATTTGAATAGATGTGGCTCACTGCCTGCAGTTTCTATCTTCGTTGTCTACGCACCAACATCTCATTATGATGAAAGAGAAATCGAGAAGTTCTACATGGAGCTAGAGAAGTTCTATAAAGAAGACCACACCTTCTACAAGATCATTGTGGGTGATTTTAATGCCAAGATAGGACCGAGAAGATCAGCTGAAGAACTTCACATCGGAACCCATGGCCTAGAATGGAACGAACAGGGTGAGAGACTGTCTGAGTTTATCATGTCGACCAAGACCATTCATGGTAACTCACAGTTCCAGAAGGCAGAATCTAAACGATGGACATGGGAGTCTCCTGGTGGACGATTCCACAACGAAATAGACCACATCATATTCAATCGACGGTTTTGCCTGACTGATGTCGCTGTTGTCCCAAAATTTCGAACGGGATCGGACCACCGTCTCCTTCGTGCAAAATTCTACTTCACAGAGCGGGGAGAAAGGGCTGCAAAGTTCAAAAAGAGAACTCCCAGAACGACCACCAACTGGGAACTCTTTGGTACTGTTGCGGCAACATGGGAAGATGCCATTGTTGACAACATTGACGAGGAATACGATATTATACACAATAAAATAAAATTTGAAATGATTTCATTTATGAATATTTGATTTTCTTGAATGTTTACAGAAGGACAAATAAAGAGGATTCAAAGCTTGATGATATAAAGATACTCCATTTTGAGTCAAAATTATAGATAGGAGTGAAATCACAGAGACCCAACTGAGCCATATCTCAGACCAGGTATTGCTGTTTGAGATAAATTTGAGCATCATTTCTATTACTCAATGCACTTAGCTGGGATTTATGCTATACAAATGTTTGAACTTTGGGGGCACAGTGACAAGAAATGGAAAGAATTGAGGATGCTAAGTATTGCAAAAATAATAATATGACTTTACTAAAATAAAAAAATTAACATTAAATCATTAAAAATTCAATGTGAATATTTGCACTAAGTTAAAAGTAACTATGGTGCTAAGTTCATTCTTGAGGACTGACTAAATGAATTTATCAAGTGATACTGAAGAACACTGATTTGATCTAGTATTTCATTCCATATGTTAGCTTATAAAAATTAATTCTTTAACAATGATTTAGAAAGGATCTCCTATGCCTGAATGCTTTGAAGCACAAAGTTATTTGTAATAAAGAATAAAAGGAATTTTTTGAATGTACTTTTGTACAATGCTTTCCTCTAAAATAACCTGTCACAGTGGTTCACTTTATAGACTGAATACATATCTGGGTGATAGAAGCTACAGTTCCCAAGTATCATATTTGAAATTTTTTTAGTTTTTATTTTTCACTCTAAGCATGTGCTATGCAAGGACCACATACTGTTTGTAAAGTAATACTGAGATTTCATGGTTGCGAGAAAGGAAGAATTATACTGCATTTTATGAAGTAATTTAGCTCTTTCATTTTAAATTCTTCAATTCGCAATGAAACCACCTGACCTCTTCAAACTCTCCCTTTACTTAGATAAAGACCTAATTTACCAGTGTGCAAAGGACATGAACTTGAGTCCCCCTTGTCTTCACTAATAGTAGGTTTCTGCTGAGTCATTAACTTAAATAATACATTCTATCTTATGAGTTTGGGCCCAGTAGAGACCCAGTGGGCAGTCAAGGAATATTTTCTACCTATGAAATTAATTGGTATGTATATATGCAGCTTGGCTACATGACCCTGGCCTCATTAGAACCAATCTCAGACCACCTTGGTGGATTGGTTACTGCTTAGCAAGTGAAGTTCTACCTTCTAATTCATACAAGGAAGATAAAGAAAATAATTGTCATTCAGATGGAGAAAATGATAACAAAAGTAGTTTTTTCCCAGCTTGAAAATATTTTTCTGTAATTAGCCCAACCAGATATTGAAAGAAGTAAAATATCTAAAAGGCAACCCAAGAGGAAGATGGGAGAAAAATGTGTGTATAATTTTCCAGGCGGCAAGGAAAATTCCTGGTGACTCTCTTGCCACCTGTGTTTGGTGGTTTTAAGCCTCTCCTTCACTCTAGAGTGGCCAATGCCATAGACAAACTAAGAAGGAAAGAGGTCACCAGGCTGGTTGATGATCAGTTGCCGTTTATTCCATTCTCCCCACGCTCCTTATCCAATCTCTTTCAGCCCCCCATTCTAGTTTCATACTGTCCCTCATTCCCGTGTCCTACTGTCTCTTCTGCTCATCTGTCCAAGCTCCCTCATGCAGCCATATCTCTTGTCTCTCCACGCACCTGCTCCTGCATTCTTCCCCTACAGTCTTCTACCTCTGTCCCCCTTGTTAGTCTCTCCGCACTCCATCTTGCTGCCCTGGTATGTCTAGTCTTTCACCACCTCCCTAGCAGTGGGGATAGCCCCACACTCCGTCTAGTAGTACAATGAAAAATCACAGAACTTTCCTGATTGCCCATCAGGCTCAAGGGCGGAAATACCAACTAGGGGTGTTTCTCCTCTCCTTAGTCCAATAGCTTAATTAACAACTTAATTAAAATCTTATTTCTACTTCTTAATATTAGTTATTTTGTATGGATACAATAAAAGATACATTGAGCTTGTTGGGTGGCTCTCCTGGGGACATCTCACTAGAGATCTCAGACTACAGTGCTCAGGCCAGATTAATCTTTCTTAACCCTAGCAGGGTCCTACTCCATGACTATGCTTTTAACTTATAGTTAAGTATTATGGCACTTTGACAAGGCCCATTTTGATGCTCATAGCTTGCCCTGGGTCCATCCAGTCCCTCGTCGGGACCCTGCTTTTGGGATGCTAGGAAGTAAGGGCAACTTAGGCTTAAGTCGAGAGAACAGATGCTCAGGGGTGAATATCATTTGGAGCCAATTAACTCCAAGTTACAAAAGCATAGCATTAATTGTCTCCCTGTGTCTATACACAAAGGACATTGCTCTGAATTAACTATGAAAGGACTTTGGGAGAAGAAATAGCAATATTTACAAGTTAACAGAGCACAAAGAAAGAGGTTACAAATAAACACAGAGGAATGGGAGCACTGTTATTGGGAGTAACCAAATAAACCAAAGCTTCTAATAAATCGAATCAGAAATAAGAATGGGGATATCACAACAGAAACTAAAGAAATTCAAGAGATCATCAGAGACTACTTTGAAAGTCTCTATGCCACGAAACACGAGAACCTAGAAGAAATGGATAAATTCCTGGATCTCTACCATCTCCCAAAGCTGAATCAAGAAGATATAGAGTACCTGAATAGACCCATTCACATCAAGGAAATTGAAACTGTAATCAAAAGTCTTCCCAAAAACAAAAGCCCAGGCCCAGACGGATTTACTAGCGAATTTTTCCAAACATTTAAAGAGGACCTATTGCCAATTCTTCTCAAGCTTTTCCAGGAAATTGAAAAAACAGAAACTCTCCCAAACAGCTTCTATGAAGCCCATATCTGTCTAATACCAAAAGGAAACAAAGACACCACAAGAAAAGAAAACTACAGGCCAATATCCCTGATGAACACGGATGCGAAGATTCTCAACAAAATACTAGCCAATAGAATACAACAACTCATCAAAAAGATCATACATCATGACCAAGTGGGATTCATCCCAGGGATGCAAGGATGGTTCAACATTCGGAAATCAATCAACATAATCCATCATATCAACAAAAGAAAAGGTAAAAATCATATGATCATATCAATAGACGCAGAGAAAGCTTTTGACAAGATCCAGCACCCATTCATGATGAAAACCCTTGCCAAAATGGGGATAGAGGGGACTTTCCTCAATATAGTTAAAGCCATCTACCACAAACCTACAGCAAACATCATTCTCAATGGGGAAAAACTGAGACCCTTCCCCCTAAGGTCAGGGACGAGACAAGGATGCCCACTCTCTCCACTACTGTTCAATATAGTACTGGAAGTACTTGCAATAGCGATTAGGCAAGAAAAAGATATTAAGGGCATCCAGATAGGGAAAGAAGAAATTAAGCTCTCACTATTCGCAGATGACATGATACTATACTTAGAGAACCCTAAAACCTCTACTAAGAAACTCCTAGAAACAATAGGCTTGTATAGTAAAGTGGCAGGCTATAAAATCAATACCCAAAAATCCATGGCATTCCTATACGCAAATAGTGAAAGAGAAGCAAGTGACATCAAGAAAACAATCCCATTCACAATTGTGCCCCAGAAAATCAAGTATCTAGGAATCAGCTTAACTAAGGAAGTAAAGGACCTGTACAAGGAAAACTACAAAACGCTACTTCAGGAAATAAAAGAGGACACGAGGAAATGGAAAAATATCCCCTGTTCATGGATGGGGAGAATCAACATCATCAAAATGGCAATACTTCCCAAAGCACTGTACAAATTCAATGCAATCCCTATAAGGATACCCATGACATTCTTCAAAGAAATGGAGCAAACACTCCTGAAATTTATATGGAACAATAAGCCCCCACGAATAGCTAAAGCAATTCTTGGGAAAAAGAAAATGGGAGGAATCAACCTCCCTAACTTCAAACTCTACTACAAGGCAGTAATAATTAAAACAGCATGGTACTGGAACAAAAGCAGAGCTGCAGACCAATGGAACAGAGTTGAATATACTGACATTTCCTCCCAAACATATAATCATCTAATTTTTGATAAGGGGGCAAGAAAAGTGAAATGGAGCAGGGAAAGCCTCTTCAACAAACTGTGCTGGCAAAATTGGACGGCTACATGCAAAAAAGTGGGCTCAGATCTCTGCCTAACACCATGCACAAAAGTAAGATCAAAATGGATTTATGACCTCAACATCAGACCAGAATCCATAATGTTTATTGAAGACAAAGTCGGCAAAACTCTCCATGATATTGAAGCTAATGGTATCTTCAAAGATGTCACGCCACTGGCCGAGCAAGTGAAAACAGAGATAGACAAATGGGACTATCTTAAACTAAGAAGCTTCTGCACCTCCAAAGAAACAGTGACCAAAATACAAAGACAGCCTACAGAATGGGAAAGGATATTCACCAAGTACACATCCGACAAGGGGTTGATATCAAGGATATACAAGGTACTGGTTAAACTCCACAAGAAGAAATCACCCAACCCCATCAAAAAATGGGGTGAGGAAATGAACAGAAACTTTCGCAAAGAAGAAATTCGAATGGCAAAAAGGCACATGAGAAAATGCTCTACATCACTAATCATCAGAGAGATGCAGATCAAAACCACAATGAGATATCATTTCACACCACAGAGACTGGCCCACATCCACAAGAACAAAAGCAACCGGTGCTGGCGTGGATGTGGCGAGAAAGGGACCCTCCTTCACTGCTGGTGGGAATGCCGGCTGGTCCAACCCTTTTGGAAAACAGTATGGACGACTCTCAAAAAATTAGAATTTGATCTGCCATTTGACCCAGCTATAGCAC